TGTGATAAAGAAAATGTCCGGCGATGTCGTAATTAGAAAAAGTTGCAAATGCGAGAATTTATTCACGAAGGACCTAAAATGTGGATGAAATCTTTGAAGAAGTTGCGGTGCCAGTCAGTCAGTTCCTCTGGTGGAAGAAGACGTACGACTAGAAACTGAGGCCTGCTTACATAAGAAAGTGTGTTGCCAGGAACCAACTTACTCATACAACAAACCCTACCTCGTAAGTGCTGCTTCGATCCACATCCTTTGCTTTTAGCCTCAGCTCACGTCGTTCTCTCTCGGCTTTTCTCTTCGTCTCTTTCTTGAACCATCGTGCTCTTTGTAACGTGAACTCTTTTGAAACTAGGAGTTTTGAAGCATTCTGGCTCAAAAAAGCTGTTGTCCAGAGAATTTTTCCGGGTGACTGCATCTTTACCAGACGGGCCTTCCGCGCTCTCTGCTCGTACGAATGATTTTAAATGACCCTATTCAACTTCAGCAATCTGAAGACCTCGAAATTTACACTGGCTATATTCTTGACCTATGATTTATAAGATTAACACATCGGTCGCCACGAAAGTCCAACCCTGTGTGTCAAAGAAAAGTTCTTTTCAAACATACCTCTTTCGCAATCCTCGCTTGTGATCTTTCTCATCTCAAGGATGTTCAGGTCAAGAAGTTTATCAAGGTGGAGCGAAACCCACCGGAACCACCCTGTTCGCATGTTAGTCAACTGCTTCAGGATAGGATCTTGCTTTGAACCTAAGAGGATCTCTTCTCCGGCCTGGTTTTGCGTTGCGATCTGGCGGTCTTCGGAGGTGAAATCGATTGCAAGAAAACAAGAAACGCAAGAGAGAAATATCGTCAATGATTCCGATACTAGGAAAGTAATAACCGCGAAAACACAGTGGTTACCCAGCATCTTGAAACACGAACCACCATGAGAAAACGGGTAAAAATAGGAAAATTGGTTAGGATGAGGAAAAAAGAGCAAGCGAGCGATTAAAATCAGATTAAAAAATCAACAGCTTACGGGCGTTACACAAGTCGTAGATATGCGCTGGTTGAGTGGGTGCCTCTCTGATGGAGATGTGTTTCTGCTTTTCATGATTTAGTGACTGATTATTTAGTGATGATTTATCAACTGCACTGTCTGGTACACCAACATTCCACTCCAACGCGGGAAGCTGCACCTCTTTTCCGCGAACATGTTTCTCCTTTCATGTCCAATCGACTTGAGGCTCCGCCTTTCCCATGCTCGCGTGAGAAAGTAATCAGGGAGCATGTTCGCAAAAGAGGTGCAGGGTCCAGGCGAAGCGGCTGCGCGGAAGCGGAGATGCTGTGTACCCGACACTGCAGTTGATAAGTCCTGTATCATACAAAAAACTAAGAAAGTATGTTGCTCTACTGAGGCACGGCTGCAAGAGGATATTCAACAAGTAATTCTGAAAACTAAAATTCACTCTTTTTCTTGTAGGAATCCTACTCATATTCGCAATCAGAACAATAAAAAACAGTGTCATGAATTATACCTTCGCTAGTTTAGAGAGAGCCTTAAAAGTGAAGATTATTCAAACCCTTTACGCCCTCAGCTAGAGAAGAAATAGCTGTAGACTAGATTGTGGGCGAAAGATTTCGTCTAAAACCCAGATCTGTTGAAACCTGTGAAAAACGTTGCATGTGCATGTGCATGTGTCTGTTACAAAATTCGTAGTGCATGTAGCCAAGTCCTGACCCAAATTTTGCATAGCGCATGCTACCGGCGAGAAACCACCAAGTTGAAGCACGAGCGAGTTTGCTGAATGAATCACTCAAAATTGCGTCAAACGGATCCATTCGTTTGCTACGCAG